ATTGAATATATTGTTGCCACATAACCAAACCTCCGATGATTTTTTCGTTCCTCCTGAAATCGGGACGAATTTAATATATAACGACGCGAGGAGTTGTTTAGAGTCAATCTGAATCTACCACCTTAAGAGAACGTCCTTAAGGCACTAGGGAACGAAAGGCCAAACAATTCAATACTGTCTTTTCTTTTATTTCAAATTCCTTTCAGAAAGTTCAAAGTATTATTTAGAGTTATTATCCTCGTGGGAACGATAACTTGGGCATTAATAATCCCACTTATTACTTGATGCGTGCACTTGCACGATTGAGTTAATATCTTGAGAACAAATGTATTTTCTCTTGATAGACTAAGTAAGGGAACGTTCTTAAGAGCATCAGCACCCAGCAATTCCTATACAATAGATTTATAATGGTAATGGATAAAATTTACCTTTATATGTTTAAAGAAGAAATTAATACTTGACCAATTGACCCATCTTTTAATCTAAAATCCATTATCCATGTCTTTGAGGATCATCCCAACTACGGTAAAAAAATTAAAATATTACTATTTTAATAAATAATTATGAATATATAGCTGTTTCGAAACTATTTACGATCTATTGCACTCGTTCACATCCAAATTAAGTGTGACCATTCAAACCTAAGTTAGAGTGTTGACACGTGACTTACAAGGCTTTCATGCCTAATTTAGGCGTGACTCGTCTGGTGTTGATACGTGACACAAAAAAGTCAACTTACAAACTGTAAAACTTTGGAAAATCATAACTTTTGACTCAGGTATCTAAATCAGGTAACTTTTTTGATTCCACATAACATTTTCGAGATCTACGCAATGACACCTCATTTGACATATTTTATCTCTCAGAAACACAGTTCGAATTTGCAAAAATGATATTATAAGAACGTTTAAACCTAGAAGCCTCCGAGTTTTGGGTTTATGATTTAGTATAAAAAATAAATAAAGATTTGATTTGTGATTCAAATTAAAAAAATCTAAAAAAATTATTATTAATAAGGAAAATAAAATAAAGATTTGATTTGTGATTTAAACTTAAAAATCAATTTGAAAAATATGTATTAATAAAGAAAATAATTAAATAAATATTCTAAATCTCTAAGGAAGAATGATTTTATTTTTGAAAACCATTCAAAGGCTATAAGCTTCCAACGAATCCATATTTCTGTATATTTTAAAATTATTTTTAATTATATTTCTGTATCTTACAGTTCGATATGATTCGCGATACACGATATGAAAAATCGGCCAAACGATACACGATACATATTGCAATTTTATAACCTTGTACACCATAGTTATTAAAACCGGACCGACCCGGCCGGGTCGACCTGGAAACCGGTCATATAACCGGTACGGTTGAAGCAACAGACCGACCATGCATCAGAACCGGTGCGACCCGACCGGTCCCAAAAAAAAATTTCAATTTTTTTTTTCAAAAAAAAAAAAGAGTTATTGACTTACATAAGTTATGTACCTACAACATTAATATTATCTCAATTATGTACTATGCATAAAATTTTGAATTAATTTATAGTTAGACATGTCGTTTTCTGAACCTAAAGCCCCGTATCACGATCATTATTTTTTTGTTTGATCTTTTATTGGATAATAATATGTGATTTATTATTTTTTATATTAAAATATTTGAAATTTTTATCATTTTTTTAAATATTTGAGTTTGTTTATAATTTTTGAATATAAATTATAAAATTGCATATAATTACTGGGTCATGCAATTGAACCAGTGACCCAGTACCTTGACCGGGTCAATGACCGGGCCGGTTTTAATAACATTGTTGTACACTATTTTTTTCAAACACTTGGTGAAAGTATATTTTTTAATATGACATTAAGGATCCTTATTTATGGATGGACTAATCCACTTTGATGTCATCTTTAATATCAGACCATGACTTAAAAGATAAAGTCTATATTCACAATGATAAGAATATAGCCCATAGGATAAGGATATAGAGGTTCCAGTAGGAAGAAGACTGTGTTTGGTGTTGATTTGGAAAGAACTCGGAGGCTTCTGGGTTTAAACACTCGTATAGTACCATTATTGCAAATTTGAACCGTGTTTGTGAGAGATAAAATATGTCAAATGAGGTGTCATTGTCTAGATCTCAAAAATTTGTGTGGAATCAAAAAAAAATTACCTGATTCAGATACCTGAGTCAAAAGTTATGGTTTTATGAAGTTTTACGATTAAACTGTTAACTTTTTGTGCCACATGTCAACACTATATGAGTCACACCTAAATTAGGTGTGAATGCCTTATAAGTCACGCCTAACTTAGGCGTGAATGATTAAGCCCAATTTGGAAGTAAATGAGTGCAATATATTCGTAATTAGATTTAAAATAACAATTTATTGATAATTATTTATTAAAAAAGTAATATTTTAATTTTTTTCCCTAACAAAGTCATGTCATTTTTAATAATTATGGTATCATTGTTGTAAATTCAAATTTTTTGTGAGAGACAAAATATGCCAAATGAGGTGTCATTACGTAGATCTCGAAAAGTTATGTGGAATAAAAAAAAATTACCTAATTTGGAAACCCGAGTTAAAAGTTATGGACTTCCAAAGTTTTATGGTCAAACTGTTGACTTTTGTGACACGTGGCAGCACCTGGTGAAACACGCCCAGATGGGGCGTGTCTCTCTCCTCGGTCACGCCCAGGTGTCTCTCTCCAACTTGGTCACGCCCCATGTGGGCGTGACTCACGCTTAGGTCACGCCCCACATGGGCGTGTTTCTCTTTATTGGAACACGCCCCATGTGGGCGTGTTTGACTGTTATATTTTTGTAATTAATTTCAAAACGACTACATTTTCGTAATTTTTTATTAAAAAAGCAATAAATTAATTTTTTTTGCCGACTTTGTTACCTTATAATAAAAGTTTTTGTTCATGATTATAAAAATGTTCAAATTAGTAGTTTTTTAATAAAATCAACTTAAAAATCAAAGTAAAGCGAAAAGCACTCACTTAACTTTTTAATATAAATTATTCGATATTCTGTCACCGACAGATGTTAACCGAATAAAATTATAAATTTAATAAAATTCTTCATTCAAATTTTTAATATATATCTCAATAACATACATAATTAACCTTATCATAACTTACCATAATCATGAGGATCTTTATTATGAATGTTTCTAATCATAATAGTGGTTTTCTGCTTATTAATTTGAATTTAAACGTTCTTATGGTATTATTATTGTAAATTTAATTTTTTTTGTGAGAGACAAAATATGCCAAATGAGGTATCATTACGTAGATCTCAAAAAGTTACGTGGAATAAAAAAAATTACCTAATTCGGATACCCGAGTCAAAAGTTATGGACTTTCAAAGTTTTTCGGTCAAACTATTGACTTTTGTGACACGTGGCAGTACTTGGTGAAACACGCCCAGATGTGGCGTGTCTCTCTCCTCGGTCACGCCCAGATTGGGCGTGTCTCTTTTCAACCGGTCACGTCCCTATGAGGTGTATTTCACTGTTATATTTTCGTAATTAATTTCAAAACGACTACTTATTCGTAATTTTTTATATTAAAAAAACAATAAATTATTATTTTTGCCCTTGTGACATAGACGATAGGAATAGGGCCTCCAACCTTCAATTGATGTGACTTGATAAATAACTTAGTTTCATCCACAGCACACTCCGTTTCCTTATTTCTCTTATATGGCATCCATACATCGCATCCATACATGATTTTTATAAAATTAAGATGCAGCATGAAATTAAAAATAAAAATAAAAATCGCACTACCATTGTAAACACAAAATATTATTTTAAAAATTTAACTTAAAGTAATAGTTTAAGTTCAAATCCTAAATACTCACAGCGATAAAAGTTTTATTACGGAGAATTTTATCACTGTGTTTTAACCCAATTTAAACCGGACTAATCAGATAATTAGTTAATAGGCTTTGTATTTCGGAACACCAATTAAAATGTAACTTTTTACCAATTTTTTTACCTAAATACCACGCGAACAATGTTATTTCTCAATCTGTCTCGGGGGCAAGTTCGTTACCCGGTGTAGCGAACTCGGTTTGCTAACGTGTCACATTTCTAGTAGATAACAAATACCAAGTTTAAAAAAAAAAAAAAGTTTGAAGTTCGCTACATTGGGTAGCAAACTTGGTTAAAACTAAGTTCGCTACCCCGTGTAGCGAACTTGGTGTCCACTAGAAACGTGACACGTCAGCAAATCGAGTTCGCTACACCGGATAGCGAACTTGCCCCTGTGACAGAATGAGAAATAACACTGTTCGCGTGATATTTAGATAAAAAAATTGATGAACAGTGATATTTTAGTCACTATCCCTTTATTTCTGCAGCGACACCACAACTTTATCTTCTTCCGCTGACACAAAAACATGATGGGGGCTACAATTTTCTAAAAATAAAATAAATAAAAAATTTGGCTGAGTTTGTTGCATGAGGAGAACACTTTTGCACTAACAACAAAAATATCTTCTCTTTACTTAATTGACGGAAAATAAAAGAAATCAAATCAAATATTTTATTTAAAAAAAATACATCAAATGAGTTTTTTTTTTAAAAGAAATTCTTTTCTAAGTAAAAAAAAAAACTTCATTTTAATAATGATTCAAATTTACTTCTTCAATAAATATATATATATATATATATATATATATATATATATATATATATACGGAAAAATGTGTCATTTTAAATGACATAAAATTATGTTATTTTAAGTGAGAGATAGAACAAGAAAATATTTTTTATTTAAAATTTAAATTAAAAAAATCACTCACTTTCTCTCATATAATTTTCATTCTTTGTGTTTATCTCTCTTTTAAAATGATATAACTTATGTCATTTAAAATGATAATCAACCAGAGTCGAAGGTTTTCATCCAAAACCCACTTGCGGATTTTTCCCAAACTAATGAATTTACACATACTTAGACTTTATGACATGGGCCACAGGCCTATGTAAGGGTCCATGTTTCTGTGACCAACACATGAACAGAACCATAACCAGTGAGTGGCGAACGCAGAGAAAGGGAAAAAAGGGTTCTCAAGAAGTGAAGTAACAATGGCTTCAGAGGAAGAAAGTGCGGTGAAGGAGCCTTTGGATCTCATTAGGCTCAGCCTCGACGAACGTATCTATGTCAAGCTTCGGTCTGACAGAGAACTTCGTGGCAAGCTTCATGTAATTCTTCAATCTTTCTTCTTTTCATAAATTTTTTTGCTTTTAGCTTGTACACTCTTTCTGTGACTACCTATTAACGTGTAGTTTGTAATTGTGTTTTGAGTGTTCTGTGATGGAAAATTTATAGTTTTTAACTTGGTTTGAAGATAATTGAAATCTGGGTTCCTTAAATTTGATGGAAAGTTTGTAGCTTTCTGGAGAGTTTTAATTTTATATCATCTCTGAGAATAATGGGTTGTTTACTAATTGCAACTGGGGATTAAATTTTTGTTTGTTGCTGAATGAAAATTTGACAGGGCTTTGAACTCAATTTAAAATAAACATATTTGGCATGAGAAATCATAATTATGGGTTGTTAATTTTTTTAATATTTTGTATAATTATTGGTAGGCTAAGAACTTTATGCTGCCAGTTGAAGATTGGATTAAAAAAAAAAAACTGATGTAATGTGAACTTTTAGGGTTTCAAAGTATTCTTAAGCTTAATGGAATTTCACTGGTGAACTGAAAGTAACGTATTGAAATGGTTGTTGGTTTCATAGATGTTCTTTTAGGACTACGAGTGATGTTTATTTCTTTGGGGTAAACGCGAGTGGTGTTTTCAACAAAGACTGTGATGTGGTGCTCATATTTACTTATTGTTCTTGTATTTCTATATGATTCTCATGAGCTTGTAGTTCAATTTTAGTGGGGTTTCCTATTTAAAAATAACTAGAGTTCATAATGATTTTTACAACTTACATGCCGTTCCTTTTTGTTGGTTTGATAGAAGTATAACTTTGAGATATATCTTCACTATAGAAATTTAAGATTTTGGTTTGTTATTTAAAACGAGTGATGACTTCTGTGAACAAACTTTAAGCATGAAACCTGAAAACAAAGGTGTTACAGTTTTTGTTAATTTGTTATTTTATTATTTTATTTTAAATTGTTGCTGTAAATAAAAGGGTTGTTATTTGACCCAGTGTTTAGGAATGTTGGAGTAGGATCAGTTGGTTTTTTTAAATTAGTAGTGGGGTTGTTAGTGGTAGAAGTTGTTCCTAATTTGTCTATTTAAACTTCCATCGAGATGAATAAAATTATTAGATCAAAAGAATTATTTTGGAAAAGCATCTTGTGCAAGAGGTCGGGCTTCCTCAGTAAAGCCATAGTTCTATTTGAGGTCAGACTTCCTCAATAAAGCCAAATTTCCATTTTTATGAATGTAACAACTTGGTATTAGAGCCAGACACAAACACCACGCATGGAAAAACGGTTGGAAAGACTGGAAGACGCGGTCCTGTCTTTGGTGGAACAATTCAAGGATATGCTTACCCAACTCTCTTGCTCAGAATGTGCGACGGACCATAACAGTCAGCAACACCAAGGGTTCGTCTTTATCCACTCCCACCAGCGGTGCTACATCTTCCGGCAGTGGCGCCTCCACCGATTCGACTCTCGTTCGCTATTTGACCTTCAAAGAGATATCTGAGCGGTGACAGAAGAGGCTTTGCTTTCGTTGTAATGACGCATTCACTCCAGGCCATCGTTGCAAACGATTGTTCACCATCCAAGCAATGACAAAAGAGAGCGACATCGAGGCGGTGATGGACGAAAGTGAAGGAGAGGCGGATATTGAAGATGATTCAATTACTTGACATTGAACTTACTCTCGAAGACAAGAGTAATTTTTTTAGGGGGAGGGAATGTTACGCCTTTTGTTAATTTGTTATTTTATTTTAAATTGTTGCTGTAAATAAAAGGTTTTTATTTGACCCAGTCTTCAGGAATCTTGGAGTAGGATCAATTGGTTTTTTTAAATTAGTAGTGGGGTTGTTAGTGGTAGAAGTTGTTCCTTGTTTTTAGAGTCTGTAATTGTCTATTTAAACTTCCATTGAGATGAATAAAATTATCAGAACAAAAGATTTATTTTGGAAAAGCACCTTGTGCAAGAGGTCAGGTTTGCTCAGTAAAGCCATAATTCTATTTGAGGTCAGACTTCCTCAATAAAGCCAAATTCTCATTTTTATAAATGTAACAGCTAAATAAAAATGAGAATTTGGCTTTATTGAGGAAGCCTGACCTCAAATGGTTTTACTAAGGAAGCCTGACCTCCTGAACAAGTGCCTTTTGGGATAACATTTTTAATCTGATATTTTATTCGTTTAACTGGAAGTTTAAATAGACAATGAAAACACTAGCACTAACAAATAACAACCATCCACCCCACTACTAACAGTGGCAAGATCCTATCCCATTCACTACTCCAATGTTCCTAAAGACCGGGTCAAATAACAGCCCTTTATTAACAACAATTTAAAAATAATTAAATAAAATATATAAAAACTAACAATCATAACATTCCCTCTCCCTAAAAATTACTTTTGTCCTCAAGAGTAAGTTCAATATCAAGTAATTGAATTATTTTCAATTTCCGCATCTCCATCACTTTCGTCCATCACCGCCTCGATCGAAGATAACTTCTTGCAATGATGACCAGGAGCAAAAACAAAGCCCCTTCCGTTGCCTATTGGAAATTTCTTCAAAAGTCAATCGCCGAACTAGATTAGTGTCATTTCAGTTCTAGCTGTGATAGGTTGGGGTTATGGAACTTGCTGGTTTAGTATTAAAATTATTCGCTGAATGATCTCCTCTTTGTCGTGTTAGCGTAGCCACCAAGACGTCCAACCTGTTTGGAGAATTGGGTGAACATCTCCTTGAATTGCTTCGACAAAGACTGGACCACGTCTTCCAATTTCTGAACATGTTTTTGTCCATGCCTGAGCTTTGATACCAATTGTTACAAACAAAATAAGTAAAAATGGGAATTTGACTTTATTGAGGAAGCTTAACCTCAAATGGCTTTACTGAGGAAACTTGACCTCTTGCACAAGTGCCTTTTGGGATAACTTTTCTAATATGATATTTTATTCATTTCACTGGAAGTTTAAATAGACAATGAAAACACTAACAAATAGCAACCACCCGCCCCACTACTAACAGTCACAAGATCCTATCGCATCCACTACTCCAATGTTCCTAAAGACGGGGTCAAATAACAACCCTTTATTAACAACAACAATTTAAAAATAACAAAATAATAAAATAAAAATAAATAAAAACTAACAATCATAATAGAAGGATGCATGAATTTGTGATGTGTTTAATACTTTGTCAAAAATATTTACTTTGCCATGTCAAATTGATTTTCCTAACTTCTCTGCCTTAGGATTGGACTTCTCCTTTACTGAGATGTTAAACAATCTAGACCTTCGTTGTGAAGGCATTGATTTTTCTTGACATCTAACATCAAGTCCTTCTAACTTCTAAGGATGTTGCTTCTAGGTCATCTCACTAATGCAACGGTAATCATGTTATATCCGAATTATCAACTGTGGCAGAAGTTCTATGTGAGAAAGACATCAAAATGCTAGGCCCTGATTGTGTGACTGCAATGAAATCAGTCACAAAAAGCACTACAGTTATAAGCCCTGAGAGAAACTACCAGCAGTCTCTGGTTCAGGAAAATTGTAAATGAGTGACAATTTAAAGAATGACTCAGGCTCTCTGTGGTTGCACTTCATTTAGGATGATAACCCCATTCATTTATACCTTACCTTACAAGCTTAACCTATTAGGTCAAGCTAAAATTATCAATCTTTAAGTGATTTAGCTTCCTCCCCAGTTTTGACCTTTGGTTTATTAAAAGGATTGATCTTAGTTGGGTTGTAGTTAGATAGTAACTATGATTAACAGCCTAGTATTGAAGTCTAAATTATTTAAGCAATTTTTTCTGGTTCAAGTGTTGTGAAACAGCCATACTTGCATGTAAGAGAGGCAAGGGAAAGACTAGACATGCCAGTAAGATTATTATTTTTTATTTAAATGATAATCTTAAATTGATTACTTGGAATTTGCAATTTTTGTATGCTTGGACAGTTGCACCAAAACAAGATGCTAATTGGTAAATGATATATTTAATCATTGGTCCAAGAAAAAAATTCCTGGCATGTTTTGGTGTTTATTTTAATTTCAAGATTTCATTGGCCTGACATGCATTTTTTTTCTTTTCCTTTTGTGCTGGGGTTTCAACTTGAATTTGCAGGCTTATGATCAGCATCTTAATATGATTCTTGGTGATGTTGAAGAAATTGTTACTACTGTGGAAATTGATGATGAGACATATGAAGAAATTGTGAGGGTAAGTTGTAATCAACATCAACAATACTTTTATCCCAAACTAGTTGGGGTCGTTGGTAGATGAACCTGGAGAAATACATGTCTATTCATTTTCAGCATAACTTAGAACTGTGAATGGTTGCTGGAAGTTTTGAAGAATTGTAGATTATTAGCTGTTAATAAGCATCGTTGAGGGCAGTATCCATGATTACCTACTCTGTTTAGGAAGAGATGGTTATAATTTGGAAGTTGAAGGTATATTGAGAAACTTTGTTTGAATAGTTTGGTTGTGGAAACATCATTTGAAAATAACTATGCCCGAATGAAGTGCTTATCTGTTAGTATATGTATTGTAAAAGCTTGACACTTAAGGGTATTTTTTAAGTTAGATTATTAGCCTTGTTTTTCCCACTATTGGCCTTAGGCAAATGCATTTTTTTTATTGTGAATATAATTTTCCTTGGATGATTTTTTGTTTTTCTTCTGATTTCAGACTACAAAGCGGACAGTTCCTTTCCTGTTTGTTAGGGGAGATGGGGTGATATTGGTTTCCCCTCCACTGAGGACTGCATGACATGGATTGATGAACTATGTGATCATTTTAATGACAATTTATGAAATTGTATAACTTCTTAAATAGTGATCTCATTGCTTATGTTTAGATTAGCACCTTAATTGCCATGTTTGCTAGTGATTTCTGTTAAACAGTCAGTTTTCAATTCTCTTTAGCATGAGAATCATGGCATGCTCATGAACAAGGCCTTTGGCTGCACCATGGAGCTGTTGTTACATATTAGTGGCTCCATAACAGTAAGCCATGATTCTTGATTTGGTGTCTCGTCTTTATTTGCTTTTTCACTTTTAGTTACACTAGGAGATCTATGATCCGGGATTATGGGTAAATTTGGTTATTCCTATAAAGCGTGCCAGAGTTAGTAAGACAGCATTCCATGATTTGAAGGATACATGAAACGAATTATACAAAGCACAGTAGAACCCTTGAGTTGTCTTGAAATTGTAAGCCATGAGTGGGAATGGATTACCATCCAATTGATTGTGAAATATAACGAGACGTGGTGATTTTATTCATATAATAAGTGGGACTTTATTATTTATATATTGAAAAATGAAGGTAATGAAGGCAGAAAGTTTTTTTTTTTTTTTTTTTTTTTTTTTTTTTTTTTTTTTTTTTTATGAAAGAAAGGGCTTAACAGCCCAAGAAACAACTACCCAATAAAAGCGTTTCTAAAGCTACTAATAGCACAAATATTAGCAAAAAATAAATAACTAAGCCCAGGAGGGACCTGGTTAAATTCTTTATAATCAATTTTGTTGAGGCATATTAACTGGTTGGCTAGCCAATCAACACACTGATTTCCTTCACGGTATGTGTGTTGAGTCTTGAGTTCCCAGTGTTTGTTCATCCATGCCCAAATGCGAGTGACAATATGCGTCTCTCGGACAGTATTACTTTTATTGATAAGTAACGTGATCACCGAAGTGAAGTCACTTTCAAAAATAAGTTTTCTGAACTCTTTGTTTCAAGCAAATTCCAAGCTTGACACTTCAGTTGTTTTTTGTTATTGTTTAAAATGGAAGTGGTTTAAGAATGATGTAATGAAAACGGTGGATAAATAACATTGCAGTAACTACCAGGTCTATGGATTTTAACTTTGATATACAACTCATGGAAAAATAAGCAGCTATCCTTCTTCAGTAACATGTTAAATTGTTAATTAAATCTAGGGAAAAATGTCTATCATTTAAAATTACACAACTTATATCCTTTCACTCTCACAAAGAGGTGGGACTTACACCTTTATTTTTTTTGTCAACTCTCTCTCCTCCTTAATCTATCTCTTTCTCTCTCTTAAAATGACACAACTTTACATCATAAACCCTTTTCCCTTAAATCTAAGTATTGTTTCTCCATCGTTATATTCTATAACCGTCGCAGGTACATTAACAAGTTTTATTAACATATAGATGACCAGATAAGTTTTCTTACAAGCACTTGTTATTTATCAGTCAAACAAATAATAACAAATAACAAGTGCTTAAGCAGAAGGATGCTTTCCGGTTCATTCCTATTTACTGTCAGCAGCATAAAGAGCTTTGATTTCCTCAACATAATCATAGCTGCCAAGGAATATCGGTGATCGTTCATGCAACTTCGTTGGAATTAAATCGAGTGCCTGATGACGACATGAAAAGATTTATCAGTTCATTGGCAAAAATATGCAGCTAAAATAATTTCCTTTTGCAAGAGAGCATGCAGAGATGAGTTCTGATTTCTTGAAGTGAAAAAATAATTTGCCAGGGATAATTTAACAAAAGAAAATTGTAATTACCCTTTGCTTGCCCGTGAAAGCGTGTCCACCTGCTTGTTCTATCAAGAATGACATTGGGAAGACTTCATACAATACACTACACAAAAATAAATATATATGAAAAAAATAAATTCAAATTAGACCATCAATTTTCAAAACTTCAGTCATCAGAAATTCAAAGTATATATGCTCCTCCAAAATAAATTTAAAAAAATGCAGGGTTTGAAGATGACATACCGAAGTTTTCCATTTGGACTTTTTTTATCAGCAGGGTACAGAAAGATGCCTCCATAAAGCAATGTACGATGAACATCAGCTACCATGCTGTTAATGTACAGAAATGTCAAAAATTGGAAAAAGACGGTCAAATTTTAATAAACTTCTGCACTGAAGGCGATCAAAAAACTCATTCATTGAGTGGCCACATTCAAGTGCAGTAGTTCGCGAGGATAATATAAGGGAAAGATGTGCTGAACTAATTAAAATAACCTTTAAACTCTGTTAACGTTGCTATGCAGTTCTGGGTATAAATAACTGAGTTTTGCTAACGTAACTCTTTGCATTTATTTTTCATTGATACAAAACATTTTATGGTCTGGCTACTAATTCAAATTGCAGTTGGTATTAACAGTTAGAAAATAAGAAGTTTAAAATTGGTGTAAAAGCAGAAGGAAGATGCAGATATCTCAGAGTTCATCGTAAATATTTCAGATTAACTCATAGAGCAATGGGTGATAAAAGACAAATAGTCAATGTAGAGTTATTTCAATCATATAATAATTTACGCATAAATAAAGCAGATGCAATAAATAAATCATAGAAAGCAACAGAGTATGAAAGGCAATTGTGGTGTGTAACATCCAGAGCGCTGACGAGGGCGGAGAGTGATCGCCGGTGCAAAAAGGCACGGACAAGGAGCAGCTCCTGACAGGCTTCCAGTGGGGGTTACATGCATGAATGAATCGAATCGACACCCGAAAGAGAGGGATTTCAAAGGCTGTGCAGATATAAGGCTGCACAGTTTGGGATAGCTTATAAAAATTAATTGGTACTACCTATGCTAACAAGATGCATATACTTTTCGGTAGCCCGGAAAGGAAGAACTCCATAGTTAAGCGTGCTTGATTTGGAGCAATTCTGGGATGCTGGAAAGTTTTCCCAGAAAGTATGCGAGTGAGGAAAAAGAAAGTCCCATGTTAATATGTGGAGATAGTCATTGATTCTTGAAGCGGTCGGAGCGTTACATGCTGCAAAAAGATAATAGTCTTCTATTTGATGTAAGTAGTAAAAGTTAATTTCAGGTGGCAACTTTCTGAACCAACTGTGAGGAGGAGTTAAAAACGAGCATTGAGCAAGTTAGACGGCCTAAAAGATTGAGAATCTGTGATACCTTCCAATATATCTTAGAGACTTGGGCGATGAACCATCTTTTGGAAACTTGCACTTCTCCACATAACTGAACAGAAGTTAGAAAACGAATTACAAGATTGTCAAAATTTGCAGTGTTTGAAAACATTATAACTTCACTGAATTCATACATACGTGGCAGTAGGACCATCCAGTTTTTGGCATTTCCTTCATTCACTGAATAAATCTTGCCTTTCTTTGGGATCTGCACAGAGAACCACACATAAAACAATTAGCATATACCTCAAGTAAGCCACAGGTGGCGTGAGCATACATGTCCGCATTAGAAACAGGCAAATATCAATAGAGAAAACAGAGCTCAAGTGCAACAAATACAAGTGTGACGATAAAAACTAAAAAAAGTCAAAGAAATCTAAGAATACTTCTTAGAACAACTTGAAAAAGGGTATTCTGATATATTATAGAATTGTGTAAATACTTTGTACAAAGGTTCTCTATTTATAGAGAAAATAAAACCTAGAATACTTGATCTAATGGGCTAAGCCAAATACAACAAATAATAAATAAATAAATAATATTAATATTTACAAAACTCCCCCTCAAGCTAAGAAATAGATATTTATCATTCTCAGCTTGCTAGTAAGCTCTTGAAATCTATCTGAAGGAAGTCCCTTTGTCAATACATCAGCTAATTGACGCCCGGTGGGAATGTAGGGTGTGGTAATCAACCCGCTATCAAGTTTCTCTTTGATGAAATGGCGGTCGACCTCAATATGTTTAGTCCGATCATGTTGAACCGGATTATGAGCTATACAAATAGCTGACTTATTATCACATAGCAGCTTCATTAGTCCCTCACATTTTATTTTGAGATCATCAAGTATAATTTTCAGCCATAGTAACTCACAAATGCCTTAAGCCATGGCTCGAAATTCAAACTCTGCACTTGATCTGGCAACCACATCTTGTTTCTTACTTCTCCATGTCTCCAAGTTACCACAAAGAAACATACAATAACCAGTGGTAGAACGATGGTCCGTCACAGATCCAGCATAATCAGCATCAGTGTAGACTTCTAAAGAGAGATTGCCATCTCGCCGGAATAGCAATCCTTTACCAGGAGTAGCTTTAAGATACTGAAGAATTCTCTCCACTGCCTGCATGTGTTTCTCCTTTGGATCATGCATAAACTGAATGACAACACTAACAGCATAAGCTAAGTTTGGTCTAGTATGGGCCAGATATATCAATTTTCCAACTAGCCGTTGATATTGTCCTTTATCAACTGGAGGACTCTCCTCTTCAAAGCCTATCTTGTGATTCTGCTTAATAGGAGTATTAAAGGGTTTACACCCGAGCTTTCCTGCTTCTTTGAGAAGATCCAAAACATATTTCCTCTGACTGATAAAAATTCCTTTGCTTGAATGAGCTACTTCTATCCCTAGGAAATATTTCAGTTTCCCAAGGTCTTTGATTTCGAACTCAGAGGCAAGCCGTGTCTGCAGAATTTGTCTCTCCACAAAATCATCACCTGTGATAATAATATCATCAACATATACAAGGAGCACAGTAAGCTTCCCATTTTGGGAGTGCTTGAAGAAAAGAGTGTGATCTCCTTGACTCTGTCTGTATCCTAAGGTCATCATAACCTTAGTAAACCTTCCAAACCAAGCACGAGGTGACTGCTTCAATCCATACAAGGCCTTTTTTAATCTACAAACTTTATTTTCTCCCTTCACAGAATCAAAACCAAGCGGGATTTCCATGTAGACTTCTTCTTCTAACTCACCATTCAGGAAAGCATTTTTCACATCAAATTGATTTATATCCCAATTGTAATGGGCAGCAAGGGATAACAAGACTCTCACCGTATTCATCTTTGCAACTGGAGCAAAGGTTTCTTCATAATCAATGCCATAGGGTTGAGTGTAACCTTTGGCGACTAATCGAGCCTTGTATCTCTCAAGAGTGCCATCAGAATTATATTTCAGGGCATAAACCCATCTGCACCCTACTTCTTTCTTTCCGTTGGGTCTATCAATAACCTCCCATGTTTTATTTTTCTCCAACGCATTCATCTCCTCTTGAATGGCTTGAGCCCAATTCCCATCTTTCAAGGCTTCATGTACT